CCGGAGCACATGGACAGAGAAATACTGCAGCTACGTTAAGGCTGTGTGCATTTTCATCCCCTGTGGAGAGTCTGTGCAACCTATAGTGCACAAAATATGCATTTTGGGAAGTAACTATACTTTCTAAACAGGAGCTACTGTAAACGACAGGAAAGTTACTCACTACTGTAGCCAATTTAGAAAGTACATTACTTTATAGAGATTACTCTGTAGTAGAAGTAATGCATTACATTACATGTTACTGTGCTTTCAACAGCTTTGTCAGAGTTTTAGTTTATTTGTCACAAACAGAACATTTAACAAGCAGGAGCTCCAGTCTGGAGGGCTTTACTTGGCATCCGGCAGCTAGCTTAGCATTAGCCTCGGTGACAGATGAAAGGAAAGTCCTGAGAAAATGAGCAGAAGTACATACTGCAGGGGTCAATGATCAATCAGCTGATTATTGTCCTTATTATCTGACTGATCTTTTTATTCTCAGAATGTCAGGCACTGGGAAAAACAGGCCCGTTTGACCTTCCAAAGTCAAAGGTGGTGTTTTCAAATACCAGGATGCTGAGCAATCTTCTCTTAGCCCCAGACAACGGATTCATCTCCAGATTCATCCTGTTAGAGCTGCTGCATTTGTTAGGATTTTAACAGTTAGGATTTCATATCAGTGCTTTGAATGCACAGTGATTAACAGTCATATCAGTGCTTTGAATGCACAGTGAAGTAATAGGGATCAGTACATGTCTGATGTGGGGTGATTAATGAGCAGACTCCCAGCGACATGGCCCAAGCTGTGCGTACATAGAGGACACGTGGAACACGATGTGTCAGAGGTTTGCTTGGAGGTTGACTGTCACTAGAACAGGAGAAAACCTCAGCATTACATGACACAGAGCAGCCTTTAATTGGTGCTGCTGACTGTCACAGTGTATATCCTCACAGTGCCCTTCCACTAAAGCAAGCTGAATGAAGGTTTGGCACTGAGAAGTGAGCAGTGTGACGTGTAGGGGAGAGGACAGAAACAATTAAGTCGGCCTGGTTATAACACCTGTCACCAACGAAGAAGAATGAAAGAGCAGGATTTTTTAAAACACTGGTGTAATGGCGCCTTTGAAGAGTTAACATGCTGCTGTCTGAGCCCCATCTGAAAACCTGCTGCTGTGACAATAGGCTGGCCAAACCAAGCCATAACAACAGAGCACACCAGTGAAAACCACAACAGAACATGTCTCGACACTATGCAGCCCCTACACCTTGCAGCCAGGTGACCGTTTCCTCTCTCCCCATGTGCTTCGTGTCGCTCTGCTGTCAAACTGTGAAACATGTCATAACACAATGATGCTGCAGATCACAGCTGCACCTGCTGCACACGCCTCAGACATGATGGGGAACAACCTGAACATAAGTATTTTCATCTCTGGCCCACAGCGTGTTAGCTTTGCATCAAGCCTCAGTCTCCTCTATGTCTCAATTGGTTTATTCCAGAGACGATTTCCCCAACAGGATGGAGTAGGACTGATTTAAATGAGCCACAGCTCAGCTGTGATGGCCTCTCCAAGTGGATCTGGTGTGGCTGTGGCAGACATGCCGTGACACTACAGCAGCAGCACGGTGAAGGCTAACAGCGGCAGAAGATGGAGGGTTAACCCTGATAAGATGTTGAGTGGAAGACCCCCCCGCCCGGGTTGCCATCTCCCCATTTCCCATGCAGCGGAGAGCGTATCCCCCAGTGAACGCTCAGGCCTGTAAATTGTTTATCAGACACTAATGCAGGAGCCTAATCCTATTTGCATTCATATTAGTTCCTCGGTATCACCATCTGAGGGAATTACTTATTTGAATTCTTCTGAGGGGTAAATAACTTTATGCATGATATCGGTATCTTCATAATTCACACCAGTAAAGTCAATTTGGTTTAAGTGCTCCTCCGCCGCGTGCCAGAGAGCTTCTGAGGAAACTTATTTAGAGGCGGTTTGGATCAGTGAGCATGTACACATGAGGGCGGGAAATGGAAATCTATCAGAGAAAAGCTGTGTGAGAGCTGAAATCCTCCTGTTTGCCCTCAGAGGCAGTTCGAGACAGACAGGCGGGGGCTGAGCTGCTCAGCCGCTGGTGGCATCTATACCCAGCTAGAACTAACACCACCTAATCAGCAGCCTTACATTAAATCCTAGTGTTTCAGTTATTCCGTCCAGCCTGTTTGCATCAGCAAGGCTAGGCTAAATAACAAACACCTCTCTGTGCAATGTCCAAGAGCAGCACACAATGATGTGAAACAGTTTCAGCAACACTGAGCAAAAAACCCTTCACGAACAAGCCTGGACCGCCAGGCCAGAACAGTGGGGACCTGCCCAGAAGTACTACTCATTGCCTGGGTCTGCATCACCGGTACCTATCCCTTCATTAATCCACCACAGAACTGTAAGGCTGCAGCCACCAGGTGCCTGCATTACCAGTGCATCTGACAGTTACTTTGCATAATAATCAACTGTTTGGTCCATAAAATGTTGGAGAATAAGGGATGTAATCGTTTCCCGATGCCCAGGTCAACTTAACTATAACAAACACAAAAAAGTGAAAATCTGCTACCAGTGAATTTTTGGCATTTTGTTTCTTCCATAACCATGGTAATTCAGTAAAAAAAAAAGTGAATACCAATTCACTTTCAATCAGTGAGAGAGACTGTTCATTTCAGGTCCAACCCAAAGTACTTAAATTCTCCCACAACGTGGCTAAAACTCGATGTGGGTGTCACACAGCTAAACATGACGCTGCTTATTTCATGGAAGGGCATCACTGCAGATATCTGGCTTCACCGGACAAAACACTGAGTTGACCTGCAGGTTTGTAGTAAAGAACAAATCATGTGAGTGTGAAATGTTGTGACGTTAAAGCTTTTGACGTTAAATATTGTGCTGGTGACTGCAGAGAAGGAAAATGCAAGACATTCGCGATCAAAGCCGGTGAGGTCATTTCTCCTCGCATCACTCAGAACACGCGGCTCTCCAAATAAGAATATTTAAAACACAGTGAAGAAATCCATTATTGAAACTGAGCAGTCTTAAACCCACTAGGTGAAAACTACACCTGAATGCATAATTACAGCTGTAAACCCACAAACTCTGGATGCAACAATATGAAAATAAGACAAAAATCTGTTGGAAAGCGGTTTTGAAGAAACAGAAAGAAGAAGCCAGGCAGGTGGAGAGAAGCTGTCAGGAACCGCAGCTTTGAACTTGATCAGACACGCGGTTTAAACAAAGAACAAAGGCAGCACATGTGGATGAGAGCGAGCTACCTGAGCTGCTGAAAACAAAGGCTCTGAGGAGGACGGCTCACTCGGCTCCGCCAGCGCTGAAGTGGAGCCGAGCAGATGAAGCCCATGAATATAGATGACAGGCTGGTGTGTGTATTATTCTCCATCAGGCCCTTCTGCCTCTAGACTCACCTCTTCTGCCTGAGTGATCACCGGTGCTGGGACGCTGCCACCTGGTTCCCCACCTTCATCCTGGCTGGCTGCAGCGGCACCGGGTCCTGGTCCTGGTCTGATCCAGGGTGTCCCTGATGCTTGGCTCATTCCTGGTCCTGAGGTGAGGCTTGGTGTAGACAGAGGGAGGAAATCACACCACACTGCATCTAATACACCAGAGCAGAGTCTGAAACACAAGAACAATGAACTGAAATGTCAGCAGTGTTTACTTCAGAAGCTGATCATTTAGCCCTCTGAAGCCCAACAGCCACTTCTACAACGCTCAGGAACATCCCTGTTGTTATGTTTAAAGTGGAAACTGAGTTTTCCAACAAAGCAGAGTGTGAAGAGATTACTTCTTCCACCATAAACACATGTAATGTGTGTTTGTGCAGGAGTTGTGTTGTTACTGAGCTTCTATCTCTCAGACAGAAAACAAAACAGTAAAGCTTTGTAAGTGATTATTCTGATCACCGATTAAACAATTAATCCCTTAATCTACAGTATAAGATGTCAGCTGACATCCTCAAACAGCTTGATTTGTTGGACCAATTTAAATTCAATTCAGTTTTATTTGTATAGCACCAATTCACAACAGTCACCTCAGGGCACCTGACCTTAAACCTTGTGCTACAGGAAAAACCCAACCAATCCCCCTGAGTAGCACTCGACAACAGCGGGGAAGAAAAACTTCCTGTAATGGAAGAAACCTCTGACAGACCCCGGCTCATGGTGAGCGGCCTTCTGCCTCGACCGGTTGGGGTGAGTGAACAGAGAAGAGAGAGGAGAGAAGCAACATGACACAACAACAAACAAAGAAACCACAGTCCGCAACCCAAAGGCATTCAATTATCATAGAAGACAGATTCTTGATGACTGCACTTTACAAATGAATGAATGCACAGAAGACCGCGGCTGTGTGGGGGCCAAACCTTCACCTCGTCTTTCAGAGTAAAAGTGTGAACAACCACTTCCTGTTGTGTTCTTCTGGTTCAAACTGTGACCAACTAAAGTTTACTGCCGTTCACCTCTGACTGCTGGATTTCAAAGAAAGCCTGAAGAAACGGTTGTCTTCAGACCGCTTGTGCTGCTCTAGCAATACGCTGTCAGCAGCCTGTTTGACTGCTGGTTATTTTTAGGTCAGACACATGACACCTCATCGTTTTTGGTGCAGAGTGTAGAAGAGTTTCATCCACTTCCACCGAGGCCTGTGTGAAGAACACGTCACCTTTGTTCAGCTCCGACCTGCTGCCATCTTGCTGCACCTTGTGTTTGAAGTTTACTGCTCTGCACAGCACTATAACATCAGGCCGTCCTGGTGGTCGATCAGACGCAGACACAGGCCCCAGTTTGAATTCAGCTGGAGACCTGTGCTGCAAGTCACTACCTGCCGCTGTCCTGTCTCGCCTCGGTACCATCAGCTCCCCACAGGTCACTTTACAAACACAGCACATCTGTGTGGGGCCTGGACTCTGCCAGGGAAAAGGAAGATCTCAGTGCATACCAGCGGATTACACCTTTTGGTTGTGTTGTATGTTATGCCTTCCCCTTTTCTTTATGTAAAAACATCTGTATTTAAAGGCCCATTTTTCCTGTGCACACACGAGTGTAAAGCAGCTCAGTGAAGCTGTGTATGAAAAAAAAGTCTGCCAAGCAACTGCAGTATCAAATACCAAATAACCAAAACACTTGACAGGATACCTCTGTCCATGTAGAAACTCAACATTCACATCAGAGGCTGATCCTACTTCTCACTTCTGTCCTGAGCAGCCGCTGGACTCCGCTTGCACCAGATCCTCACCTGAAATATGAACCAACTGGTCCCAGTCGACTACAAACAGAAGGTTTTGGTCTCCTGCTGGACTCTGGCCTAGTAAGTGAAGCTGGTCCTGAGGGGGCTGTGAGGGGCAGTTTCCTACTTCATCTGTAACATACTTTCTTTGTCTTGAACATCAACCTGATCCAGATCAGAGTGAAGACACTGTTGCTCCTGAACCTGACTGAGACTCCCAGGATTCTGGATGTGTTGATCCTGGAGCACCGTGTCCTTTCCACAGCTGCTCTGCATCTCCTCAGTGGGGCAGTGGAGGTCATGACATGTATGAGGCTCCTGGAAATCTCCCTCTGTTGTGCTGCGTGTTGGAAACATACAGTATTAGAAACTCAGCGGCCTCCTCACACAGGCTTTGTGCAGTTTGGTTTTTCTTCATACTTTGATTTTACCAAACTCGGATATTATACCAGATTCACGTGGGATGGTTTGTCATGGTGAAAATCAGTGCATCAGTGTAAACAGATCGTATCCTAACGTTGTCTGAGATGACTGCCTCCCATGGACCTCAGCTGAAACTCTTCCCCTCACAGCAACATTTCACTTAGCAGAGAAATCCCACGAGTGGTTATTATGTCTGAGCACAGATAACAAGGCCTGCTTTTCACACTCCGATGATAACTATTAAAAAGAGTGTTTTCTAATTAATTTAACACTGTCTTTAAGTCACCTGTGGACATTTGGGCTGCGGGCTAAGCTAATTTATGAGGGACTGCAGAAAACAAATGAGCGCTCTTTTCATGTGAAAATCTTCACAAGAGTCAGTGCCATGGAGGCTATGAGGGGAACTGCACTGCAGACCTCCCTGGATATCAACTCTGTTTATGCAAATTGTTAACACAACTTTTTTATGTGATAGAAACACACCACAGTGTCATTTCGTGGGCAGGCCCACCGGGGGCCTTGACTTGGCGATGATGAAACATTTGAGCTTTTCCGAGCCATTACTTCATCGTGCAGGAGGCCCGCGATGTGTTTAATATCAGCCTCGGGGGTGTCATTACCAGTAGAGGAGAATAAGAGGTGCGTGCACCTCCGCCGCCGCAGAGCGCTTTAATGAAAGATGCCTAAAAAAGCGTGAAAATGCCGTCCCTAATCTGCTGGACCCATCTGTAGAGGAGCAGCTTCGCATGGCAGCGCTCGCTCCATTTCACCCCGTCAGCGCAGTCAGGCTCATGATGCGCTTAGAGCGGCTCCTCCAGGAGAAGGCGTTCACATTACTCAGGTTTTATTCTTCCAAATCAATATTCACTTCACATCGCAGGTTTTACGCTCAGTCCACACAAAACTGCTGAGGAAAAATGTGATCAGGAGCCACTCTAATGAGAAGGTTTCTAGAAAAACTGTCTGCACAGCAAATTAAAGAGAGCTGCATTTCTGCACGAACTTCATTCTGTGTAGAATCTGTTCGATTTCACTCAAATAATTGGTGCTGAAACCAGTCATCGGTGGTATCAACGTTGTTTTCTGTAAAGTTACTCTGCCGTTGTTCTCGTGGTGATTCTGATTCTCTGAAGCCCCTAACCTGGCAGTGACACCAGGAGCTGTAGTCACAAATCATCCCAGGACTAAAAGTAGCTCCTAACTAAACTGAGTCCTAAAGACACAGCTGTGTCAGCTCCAGCTGTGAGACTTCTCCGGTTCTGGTCTGACAACAATTCACAAAGTATCTCGGCTCTAAACGCAGCTCCTCAGTCTGAGAGACGTTGGAGGTCCGGAGGAGGCCTGAGGATATTTTTAAAAGCATATTGTGATGGCAGCGAGTTAATACAGATCCAGTCTGCTCACCAACAAGTCAACACAGCTCAGGAACTCTGCACTGATGTAAACACTTTGCGTGTGCTCGTCCACCTCATGTTCCCGCTCTTCAGGGATAAGTTTCAAAAGCCTTTATCTGACTTTTCGCGTCTGCATTTCTTGCTTGTTTTTTTTATTGAAACACCTCATCGACCAGTCAATACAAATAAACAGGAATTAAGTCTTTTTAGTAGAAAGCGGAAAAGTTGCATATTTGATAGCTGCTTTATATTAAAGCTCCAAGGGGCTCAAGTTGTAGCTCACATCTTTCTCTTCTTAGCTTTATACATCCTGTTTACATCACAGGAACAGCAGGTTCAAAACTTTGGGCATGTTTGTCCCTAAACAGAAGTAAAACAAATTACAATGGCAGGGCCCGTCACAAAGCTGATTAATATTACAGTGTCAGACTGAAAAGCACACTGTGTGACGTTTTGACATAAATGATTTATCAGGCAAACAGTTAACAGATTAACTGATGACTGATCGTTGACATTTCATTTCACAGAGATAAAAACACTAACTGGGCCGGGTCAGACAGGCAGGGCTGGATAGTTCAGTAGTTAGGACCAACAGCGGTTAATGAATGAAGCTCCTGACAGCAGCTGTCAGCTCGGTTCACTCTGCTCTTACCTGGAAACCCCTGCTGCCCATAAACAACCTGGCTGTTCACACAGAGCAGAGACAGCCCGGGGACTTCATCACAAACAGGCCATACACTCATATTTCAGCTGATTTCAGTAGGACTCACAATCAGATCAGTGCGACTGTGGGCCCAAACACACACCGAGCTCACCTGACAGGAGTTAACCCACCTGCACAGAAACACAGTGACTCTCTCAGCACTGCAGACCAGTACAAAAGTAATAAACCCGTGTGACACATCGTCAGATATGTCGCATTGAACTCTATTAAACTGTAGTTTTACAAAACAAACAAAAACGATGACAGTATGTTTGAAGTCATTGTAATAATGTAGCACTTATTCATATATGAATTCATGGCTGTTGAGCCCAAACTGATTCAGTGATTTCAGGACTGAGCCCTGGAGTCAGTTTAAGTAGAAGATACTGTGCACTAGGTTGGTTCTCATTTCTAATTAAATACAAAACACAGTGAGGAACTGCATAAGGTGAACTGAGCAGTGTGAAGGTGGCCACAGTGATAACCAGAGATTTCCTGTTCTCAAAAAAAAAACAAAAAAAAAACGCACTTCAGAGTGAAATGTTAAACCAAGTTTTATCCTGAGCTCCTCTGCTCCTGGTTCCTCTGCTATAATATTATGAGACTAACCTCCTGCTGCTTCTTCCTGGTCTTGTAACTGATGATTTTCGGCTCAATGCTGTGAAGTTAAGATGGTCCAGAATAATCGGCGGACTAAGGTGCATAGCTGTGACAGAGGGAGTGTGAGTGTAGCATGAGGGTTGTGTTTACAGGAGGTGGAGCTGACGGTCCTCCCTCCCTTCCTCTCTCGGCAGTGATCAGTTCAGCAAACTGAACCCAGCAGCCACCTGCGATGCTCCTGGATGCTCCTGCATTTTTAAAACTCTTCTTCCTCCTTTCTTTCTCCTTCTGTCCCGGGGAAAAACGCACTTTCGCTCTCCGATGTGAGTTCGCCTGTGCGTAATAGTCCGGCTCCGTGCGCGCCGTCATGGCTTATCCTCAGGGCTTCCTCTTCCAGCCGTCCGTGTCTCTGGCTCTACACTCCTGTCCGTCCTTCAGCTCCGGGGTTCTCTTAGGACCGAGGACGGAGGAGCTCGGCCGCTCCTCTTCGGGCTCCGCCTTCGCTCCGTACTCGGGATCAGCGACCTCTCCCGGATTCAACCCCCACCTCCCAAGCCCCCGCGCCGCCCCCCCCCTCAACCCGTTTATGGTGAGTGTCTGCGCAGAAACCGAGCTATTGGGTCCACCGACGCACCTGAGGATTCGGGACTGGGTGTTACTGGTTTCTGATTAGTGGTGAAAGAAGTGTCACTATCGGCGCGCAACGGCGCTCAGCGCGTAAACGGAAAAAGAAGCCGCACTTTCAAGTTATCAATTATAAAAAATTTTGTTTTTTTTAATTATTATTAAAGGATGGATCCGGCTTTTCTCATTATGTTTCATTTATTGTGTGATACGGACATTAATGACACGCTTAAATGTCTCATTTAAAACTAAATATTTCTGAGCTGAGCTGATCTAAATGTGATTGTTGGACTCACGACCAACACAAAAATATTTTAATAAAGTTATTGAGCCATGTTGTCTCAACGAAATGTGAGACCAAATTTAAGTTTGTAAATTTTGCTGAAATAATCAAAGTAAGGAGCGATTGCTGTGACCGTTTATAAAAAAAAAAAAAACGTTTTTTAAATAGATCGTTTATTTTTCCCGCAAAACTATTTGTCAGAAACTGTATTTTGCGTTTTTGTTATTTTTCAATCATTTAAATTTTAATTTATTTCTGAAGCCTATGATTTGTAAAAATGTTGCCCGGGAATAAGTTTAATTCGTTGAGGAAATTTATTTTAAATCCATTTATTTAAAAATGACCTGAAACAACTGAAGAAACACGATCTATCATCATCTTTGAATTTAGTCTGATATGAAGTGAAGCTCGGGCCCCAGTGACCGTGTTTGTGTGCAAAAGCATGAAACAGATGTTGCAGTTTAAATACCGAAATATTATAAAAATGTGATTTAAAGGAGAATTTCGCACTGGATGTGTTTGTGCTTGAAACAGCTTAATTTTGGATGCACAGTGTGCAAATAAAGTTTGGTCTGTTTGCTTAATTAAACCTTTATTTAACAGTGTTAGTCCAGTTAAGATTAAGAATCTGCTCCTCCGGGGAGAACTGCCAGAAAACAGCTTCAGCACACAAACATTAAAGCTGCAGATGGAAAACACAGATGTGAAGTCAGATGTGAAGCGCAAGAAAGGGTGCATGCAGAGAAAATAAAAGGCCTCAGCTGTGACATCAAAACAGCTAAATGTCAGACTGTGTTAAAAGTTTAGAAGTTGCATCTGTGTAAAAGTGTCATAATGACGTTTCAGAGTCCCGGCTACGACCCATCCTCAGGCATCTCCGGCTCCTTAGACTACCACCCGTTCGGGGCCCTGGGGCCCTATCCATATGGAGACCCCGCCTACAGGAAAAACGCCACACGGGACGCAACGGCCACGCTGAAGGCCTGGCTGAATGAGCACCGTAAGAACCCGTACCCCACCAAGGGGGAGAAGATCATGCTGGCCATCATCACCAAGATGACCCTGACTCAGGTGTCCACCTGGTTTGCCAACGCCCGCCGCAGGCTGAAGAAGGAGAACAAGATGACATGGACCCCCAGAAACAGGAGTGAGGACGAGGAGGAAGAGGACAACATCGACTTGGAGCGGAATGACGAGGACGAGGAGACGGTGAAGACGAATAATGATGAGCCGGAGATGAAGAGTGAGGCCGGTGAGTGAAAGGAGGGCGACTGCAGGGAAACAGCTGCAGCCTGCAGTCAGATGAATCGCTTTGGTTTAAACCAACCGCCACACTTTATGACATATTCACCAAACAACCAAACAAAAAGAGAGAGAATTTATACAGGGTAAAACACCAACACTCAGACACACACAGCAAACGTACTGTATCTCTAAACTGGAGGGACCAGTCGGTTAATCGACCAGTCGTCTGTGTTGCTGGTTCCAGCGTCTACAATGTGTAGTCTGTGTTTCATCTTCTATGACAATAAACTGACTCTCTGGGTTTTGAACTGTGGTTTGAAGATGTCAAAACAAACTCATCAACAGATTAACTGATACAACAATACTATAATTGGTTGCATCCTAACAGCATCTAAGAAAAACTAAGTCAGAAGAACTTGTGATTAGATGGACAATGCAGCAGCGACCAACGCTGGTGTCGATTCAGGCAGATTCACTGTGTCTGAGTCTTGTCACACAGCGGTAGCGGTAAAAGCAGCAGTACAAAAACACTTACTTTCAGGTTGAAGAGGACAGCTCAGGTTTAAGCAGCTCATATCTTGTTTAACGTTACAGCTAATGACTGTTTTCATTAGCAGTTAATCCGCTGATTAATTATTAATCATTTGTTAATAATAAAATAAAGTATCCCGAAATAGTGAAATGTTCCCAAGCGGACGTCTTCAAATCAAAACTCAGACAAAACCTACAGACAAATAATCACGTCTTGAGAAGCTGCAAAAAGAAAGGTAACTTTTGTCTTAAAGAATTGTTCAAAATGGTTAATCAATTATTAATGATCAATTTACTGATTAATTATTACAGCTCATTTATAGTTTTATTTAGTTTTATGTTGTGGCTTTGTTTGGTTTTCTTTTGGTCGATATTTAGAAGAGTGTGTTAGATTAGCAACATGTATGG